CAGACATAGTTTCCATATAGCTCAGACTAGTCTTCGACTCACTATGTAGCCCGGGCTGGCCTCCAACTCCTGGTGATCCCCACAATGCCAGCAACCCTCCTGCAGCAGTCTCCCTGGTCCTGGGCCATGACTCTTGGCCCTGTTTGTTTTCGCAGGACCAGGGACTGGACCTAGGGCCTCACAAATACTAGGCGAGCTTCCCACTGGGTCGTATCCCCAGTCGAGTTTTATTAATTCTGATGATGTGCACATAGTGTAAAATCTACTAGTACTCAGGTACCATTCACCTTGTTCTTGAGACAAGATCTCTTGGTAGCTTGGAACTTGCAGGTTCAAGGCAGCCGGTAACCCTTTGGATCCGCTGTCTCTCCTTCCCTGGCACTGGGGTCACAAGCACACACGATTCACTCACCCTTCTGTTTTGTTTTTCAATATTATTTCTAATTATGTGTGTGTGTTTCAGTCTGTATGCACACGTGAGTGTGAACGCAGGTACCTACACAGTTCAGAAGAGCTTCTTCTTCTTCTTTTTTTTTTTTTGGTTTTTCGAGACAGGTTTCTCTGTGTAGCCCTAGCTGTCTTAGAACTCACTCTGTAGACCAGGCTGGCATCAAACTCAGAAATCCGCCCGTCTCTGCATCCCAAGTGCTGGGATTAAAGGCGTGTGCCACCACTGCCCGGCTCAGAAGAGCTTCTTAGATCCCCTGGAATCAGAGTGACGGGCAGTTACCAGCTGCCCAGTGTAGGTGCTGGCAACTAGACTTGGTCCCTAGAAGAGCAGTGTGGAACTTGGGAGACATCTCTTCAGCTTCAGTGTTTTCTTTCTTTAAATATGGGTTCTGCTATCAAAGTTAGGTCTCTACTTGAAGGGCTAATTGAGAGATCTCTCCTGCCCTAGCTAACTACTTAAAAACAATGTTTACACGTGTATGTATATGATTTATTCCACATGTGAGCAGGTTGCCTAGAGCAGCTGGAAGATGTTGAACCCCGTGGAGCTGGAGTTACAAGAGCTCGTGAGCTGCCAGCCATGGGTCCTGGGGATGGAACTTGGAGTCTCTGAAAAGAGCAGTCCACACTCCTAACTGCTGAGCCGCCCTTCAAAACATCCCATTCGCCACTTTTGAGTGAGCAGTTCTGTGGCTGTATACCCTCCACCGACTGTCTCCCATACTGTCGTCTGATTACACACTTTCGTGTGTTTATGGAGCACAAGATGTTTTGCTATTTGCATATGTTGTAGGGTAATTAGGTTAAGCTAACGAACATACCCAAATTTTCCACTATGTAAGACACAGCCCTCTACCCTGACAGTAACCCCAGCAACCCCCTCCACAGCCTACACCCTGCACACCCCCACAGGGATACGGTCGCCACTGAGACCTCTTCCACTCATCTGTCAGCTTGTCAGGCAAGCTGCGGGTGTGGGGGTAGGGTAAGGGGATGCCCTTGGGATGTGTGCATTCTTCTCTCAGGATCCTATGTTTCCAGAGGAAAAATCCCAGCACCCAGAAGGCCCCAGACTAGGAGGGAATGGAGAAGATTCCTTGCATTCCCGGGCCGCCTGGGCTGCAGACAAGTTGGAGAATGTGTGGGGAGGCTGGGCAAGCAGGGTTAGGCCCTTGGGACCCTATCCCCAAGGTCCTTCTCCTCCCAAGCTGTCTGTCTCTGTCTTTACTAATGTTTAGCTGCCTGTTTGAGGTCCCAAGGAGGGTGAGGAGAGCCAGATTATTGATTTCCAGACCTTCCCCAAGAAGAAAAGACACCCGTGTGATCACACGCTCACCCATATATACACTCCAGGACATCCTCCATCCTCCAGACCAGGTCCTTTCCCACAACTCATGTGCTCATCTGAACTCCTCCCTCCTGATCCCACCGTCAGTGAGCAGGTCACAGAACCATCTGGCTGGAGAACAGAATACCCGATGATGGCTGTGGCTCATAGGTGTCTGTCACTGCCCTTGGAGGTTGGAGGGGCTGCTTGGCCTTCCATGCACCTCCTCAGTGTCAGTCAGTTTTTGAGGGGCGTGGCCCCATAGGCTACACCCAATCATATCACAACTCCTACACTGCTGGGACCCATGTTTCTTCCTTACAAAGCCCCCTTTCCCTGCTTGATGTTGGCCTCCCTCCTTCCTCTCTTGCCCCCCTCTCTTTCCCTCCGAGCTGTCTAACACCAACCCCACTAGAAACTTAGACCTCGGCTTCTGACCTTCTGCCCTAGACCCTTCCATGTTTCCCTTGTGTTAGAATATTGTGCAGTTCTTTAGTTCAGAGGAGCCAACGCTGCCCCCGGACACCGTATCCTACAGGTCTCTCTGAAGCCCTTGGTTCCCTCGCTGTGTCCCTGTCCGTCCTTCCTTACCACAGAGTCCTTACTGTATTCCACCCACCTTCCCTTAAAGACCCCTGCCTGCAGCTGCTGTATACACCCCATTTCTGACTGTCCCAACCACACCCATGTGGGGGGCTGGGCTGGGCACGTGGTACAGCATCTCAGCTTGTCCATCCATTTGAAAGGAGTAGCTAAGGCAGGGGAAGACGAACAGGGAAGTTCTCTGCCTAAGTTGTGCTCCCAACACAATCCTACCCTTTCTCTTGAGGGACGCGTGTTCCTGTCACAGGCCTGAGGGCTAAGACTTCTGTCTGTAGCATTGCCTCCTACATACACGTTGGCTCCTCCCTACCTGCCACTTCCTGGGTCATGCGGTGACACTGAGTTTTTGCTGCCCTGGAGGCTGACTGGTGGGTGAGTATTTGCCCACCTCAGGGCTTCTAAACAAGGGGCACTGTGATTCTGCTCCTGATGTGGACAAGTGCCTTGGATGTGAGACAGATGGATTCAAGGCAAACCCAGCTGTGTCTCAAACCTCGTGTTCGTGCTGGCTTATTCCTATAAGATGCCCCTTTGCTAATGTTGTGATTCTTAACGCTTTCTAGACACCCTCCCCTCTCCCCTTTCTCTTGGGAGGGCAGGAGAGAGGAACACATGCTTAGCGTATGGCAGGCCGTTGGGGAGTTCTTCCGATTCCGACTGTGTGCCCGTAGCCTTTGTCTTGAGTTTAGCTTTGCCAGTGGCTGCCAAGCCAAACAGTCCTTTTTAGTGGCATGCAACTCCCCCCTTTGCTGAATATCACACATTCCTCTCCAGTGAGTGGGGCATAAAAATAGATGCTGGGCTCTGTTGTGGTCTTGGTGTTTTTAGAATGGACAGAGCCAGCTAAGCCTCAGTTCCCCACATGGGCTGACTGACCAGGTTGTGGGGAAGTCAGGAGCCCTGGGCGTGGAGAGCAGATGGGGTACCGCCAGGAGCTGAGGAGATTCTTGTCTTCCTCTTCTCTTTCTACCTCCAAGATCACAGAAGGCAGTCAGTTGAGGCCTGACTCTCTCTCTTCCTGCAGCCCATGTCATGACTATGACCTACTGGCCTCTGTCCTTTCCTGTTATCTTCTATGTAGTGTCCTTCTGCAGGGCCAGGTCAGCGGCCTGGGCACTGAAAGAAGGTCATATGACTTCCTTCTCATTCCTGAAGAAGACATGTTTGGAAAAGCTTGTCCCTGGCATGTATGGTCTTTCTGTTTTCCACCTTGGCCTGTGTGGGCCCCAGGGAGAAGTGGCCTGGTCTGGTCTTCAAAACCAGTGCTGTCTGGAAACGTTGGGTGAGCTGCTATGGTAGCTCTTCTGTAATGAGAAATGACATGACTCCGTTCCTCATGTCATTTCCATGGAGAGTTTCCCATAGTGCCACATACATAACAGATGTTCAGTCAACTGAGACTTCTGGACTGTTCTCCCCAAGTCTGTGGTGTGAAGTCAGGGGTTGAGGTATGGGTGGTTGTAATCAGCCTGGGGCCTTTCACCAGGAGCTGGGCTCTTTCTTACCTTGCTCTGCCCCATGGGGATTTAGTGCCTGTTTTCTCTAGGTGGACCTGTGGGCAGACTGAGCACCTCTGGATGCACCTCTGGGCGCTCCCTCTGGCTCCCAGGGCTGAGTCTGTGATGTTTCGCATGGGTTCTGTGTGCCATGACCTTTCACAGGGTCTAGGGGTCCTGGGTCTGCCAAAGCTCTGCCCTCTTTACCATCTGTGAGCCTGGAATTATCAGGTTGTGTCAGTAGCTGTGAGAGACAGCTGTAGTGTCAGTTTCCAGCAAGCCATGATGGAAACCCCCAGAATGGGGAACTTGGGGTCACTCGTGACCTTGTTGAGCCCATTCTTTGGTTCTTCAGCTGAGCCAATATAGACAGGGACCAGGAACAAGTTCTTTCCCTCCTCCTGTCCAGCTGCCAGATGGTATTTGAATACCTTCTCTTCTCATGGGGGCAGCAAAATGCCCTTCACTATCAAGGAGAGAAGGAAGTTGGCTTGTTAGAGACTAGTCACACTTTATGTGCAGAGTTAAGGATCAAGAGAACACAAGGAGGGCTGGAGAGATGATGGCTCAGCAGTTAAGAGCAGTGACTGCTGTTACAGAGGTCCTAAGTTCAGTTCCCAGCACCCACATGATGGCTCACAACCATCTGTAGTGGGTTCTGATGCACTCTTCTGTTGTGTCTGAAGACAGCAATAATGTTCTCACATACATAAATACATCTTTAAAAAGAGAGAGAACACAAGGAAAGGGGGAGCAGATGGGTCAGGATCTGCTGCCTCCTCTCCCTTCCCACTCCTCTCGTTCCTCCTCCTCTCCCTAATGCCCCCCCCTTTCTTGCTTGTTTTTTGTTTTTGTTTTTGGTACAGGGCGTAGCTGTGGCTTGTTGGCCTGGTAACTTCTATACAGCC